AACTTACCTATTTTCATAATTTACTTGTATTTATTTAATTTAGTTATTTATTTATTGATTTCCTTGTAATACTTACAATGTATGGCGAGTAAATATCATTATTATTATCTAAGGGTATCATCAAGTCCATGGAATTGCACTAGAGACTTTCCGATCTACTATTCAAATATACATTTTGTACTCCCCTGTGGATTGTTAGCGATGAACATCTATTTTTCTGTACCTGTGCATTGAAATCCCTTTCTTTTAAATCCATATTAAGACTTATTATTTTTTGCCACTGTGTTTAAGTGAACTTCAAACGTTTTGGTGTATTTTGAAGCAGGATTTAAAAGAGTTTAGGTTGTGCAAATAAAAAATAAATTTGCTGCTGAGCAACAAATTCTGACACATAACTCTCTAACAGCGTAACTACTGATTTTGCTTTGGGGTGGCTCAATTCACTACATATGTGGAAGAGTTCAACTAAGATTAGTAGATATAAAACAAAATTAATACAACTGTTGTTTACTGATTAAAAGGATACTGATGGTTGTTTTTTAATGCATGTGCAGCTCTGAGGTAGGCTGTTTTTGCTTGATCATAGGACTTAGCATTTTTAAAACAAGTTGCTGAAACAAAAACAAATAAAAGAAATTATCAATATACACAATGAGAAGTAACAGCTGTTGAAGGTTAAAAAGTTGTCAACATTAGAAATGTTTGGGTCACAGTGGACACGCATTTAATACTGTAATATTTCAACACAAATTGTTGTCTGTGTTTTTATTCCAGACTGCAAACTTTCTTAATAACAAAGAGACATAGAATCTCACATTGCTTACAGGTTTTGATAAAAATTTAAAAGATTTTGACAGATGCAACTATTTTATTGGAGATGTCAATTATGTTGTAGGGTTTGGGGGTTAGTTTGATGTGAATAATACTGGTAAATCTTGTCTTACACTAAATTCAAGATCTAAAAAAAAAGTTCTTTTGAATATTTGTGTGCCAGTTTCTGATATTGAAAGCCACTGTTGTCTCTCATGATTTGTCTTAGGTATGCGAAAAATTGCAAGCATTGATGGTGGACATACAATGCATAGTACAATTTTATATTCCATGATTGCAACTATGTGACATGTTCTATAATCTTTTTCCTATCATAACACCTTCATGGAAACTGAATGGTCTCGTGCATTCAGACATATTGTCTACAATTAGTGAATGAATCTTTTTATATTGTTTTACAGACTTGGGATATACTTGATATATGATATATATGGTATACGACTATAGCAGACTGGAGTGTTACATGTAATTTATTTTCATTGAAATACATGGAATAAATTTTCATTTCATTTGTTATACTACAAAGGCTGGTTGGTCCATCATGTTTTTTTTTTGCTGCATGTTGCAAAGATATTTGAATAGAAATAGGAATATCGGTAAGTAAGGGACGACGTCAAAAGATCGATGTCGGATAAAAAACTTATTTCCTTTAGTTTGGGGGTGGGGGGTTTTGACCTCAAAAAGTTTCCATCCTACAAAAACGATTTTATTTTTTAATGAAGTCAAAAAAATCTTGGGG